TCAGAGAAAACCTGAAAATGAAAAAATGGCATTAGTGCTAAAACTCTTCTATAATCTTGCAGTACAACTTCTATAATGAAAACAACGCGTAGCAACTAAAATGGAATGCCTGTAAGAGACTATGGTAAGCTAATCGATGAAGTAAAAAGCTCAGTTTTCAAGGTGACATAAAAGTCAAGAATGGTTTGTAATCAAATACGTAAAATAACTGGTAAAAAAATCCAGAAATTGCATGAACAAAAACTACTTAATTATGAGTCTCGTCAAAAATAATCAACACAAAACGAAACAAAAAGAAAAAAAAAACATCTAACCTCTTCCGGTTTCATGAAAGCTGGTTAGAAGTTGTTCGGTTCTGGCAAAACTTTGTGGCTTCAATCCCAATAAGTTCCCAAACCTGTTGAAAAAGCTGCAAATTATTGCGAATGATGGATCTTTATAAAGATGTTGTAACACGCGTTCACGTTGAGTTTGTTCATTCTTTTCCGCTTCTTTTGAGTCTGACTGAAACCGCAACTACTTTTTCCAGATGCAGTCAATGACATAATGTTGATAAAATACATTTAAAAGTAAACGGATAAAAAACGATTGCAACTTCTGACAAAAATTCACCTTCAATTCTTTATCGTCTACCTGACTTTCATTTTCGCTATCCTTATCGTTCTCATCAGGTACTTCAGGAGCATTATTTTTTTCTCCATTTTCAAGTGCTTTTTCACTGTTAACTGCAGTCATTGAACAAGAATGAGGTTAAAGTTTTAATTTGGTGACCAACCCTACAATCTTCGTTTCATTAGTTGGGGTAGCTAATGTAAGAAAATTTCATTTTTAATACCAAGTATACATGAGAAAAAAAAAAACTGAAAATGAAAAACGAGGCACAGAAACGAGAGGAAAAAAAAGAAATAAAACTTTGTGTAGCAAAAGTTTACAAGCAGTGTGTGATTTCTCGAATTTGCAAAAGTGTATTACTTTATACAAGTTAACCTCTTAATGACACATATCGAATACCTTCTAGGACAAAATAAAATAAAAACAGTTAATGTGGCCTTTGTGAATAGAAAAACTTGTACAAACTATTAGAACTAAACAAATACTTCTGAAACATCCATCTGTTTTTGTAAAACACAGAGATTTTT